AGTTAGGCGGTGGGCGGAACCTGGAAAGGGGCGGGGTCCGTAAGGCTTTCGAGATGAGTTTTAGGCCTCCCAAACACGCTTTTTCGCTGCGGACTGTTCTCTTAGTCTGGAGGCATACTATCGCAACGCAGTAAGATCTAGCTACACCCCAGTTTGAGGGAACGTTGCCTTTAAGTGAACATCCGCTTCACTATTGGTTAGTTCACTGATATGACCATTAGCGACGTGGAGTAAATCAAGTGGATCAAGTATGGCGTGTCCCTTAACCATAGCAACATAATGTAAAAAAGTCCCTACCCTGCGTATTCCTTCTCGACCAGCTCCTTCACAAGTTCTTTGAAGTCACTTGGAGGATCCTTATATATCTGAAAATTCCAGTGGCATAACAATAGCAACGGTATATAAAGTATGGAGATTTACCTTGAGCAGGTACTCAAGTGAGTTAATTGTGGCTGTTTCATTATAACGCTTTGAGCGATCGGCCATTTCTGTCTGCTGTTTTCTTGTTTCGTATCCGGCTTCGTTATAATACGGTTCCGGCACCAAAATCAGTGCTGAATCACAACCATATCACAAAAAGTTATCTAGCAGAGCAATAATATAGATTAAATCTACCTTGGATTGACAATAATACTTGAAGAAGATTCGATTTTGCTGGATTCCAAGTTTCAACACCCTGAAATCGTTTCTACTACTTGTAGTAAGGCTCACCAAGTGAATTTTTCTTACCTGACCGGACCATGTGCCTAATAAACTCGTGCAAACTTTTCCATTTTGGTAAAGATTTGGATTCAGCTGCTCTTGCGAGTAAGCCACATATGTCACCTAGGAAAAACTTCAGTATATTTGGAAGTGACGCATGAAAACTCGTGACAATAACCTCGGGTGGTTTTTCTGGATAATCGCTGCCCAGCTTGAAAATAAAGTAGAAAGGTGTGCTGTCGAATGGTGTTCCCGAAGGTCCCATGATGATTACATGCAATACATTTAGTCTGAAAAATAAGATTTCACAGGTTTTCTCGTAAAATGGCAGTTTATCATACCTGTTTGCAAATGCATGGACGTGGATGCTGTCCGGAACATGCTGCGCTAGCATTTTGTGTTCTTTGAAAACAGTCGAATAGAATTTGCGGTTGGCAGGTGATTCAGAATGGTCTTGGGGGTCAGGGCATTCATCCAGCATCTGCAAATAAAACCATGTTGAGCTAGGCTAAACTGCAAACAAGAAAACAGACACAAGTAAACTTATTCTTTGCGTCTAGTCTTTTTGGAGCTTAGCGAGCATAAACTAACCGTGAAAGTTCCCTTTTGCTTGATGGCTGCTACGATTGGATGTTTGTCCACAGTAGATTCACTTAATAATGCACGAATAGATTCAATACCTCAGAAACAATCTGAGATTTTTTCTCACCTGACATTCTCGGCAGAAGACGAGATTTCCTTCAACTTTTTCGAGTACTCTTGCTCTACCTAAATCATCATTATGAGCAAATTAGCATATACGACAACGAAAGTCAAAGGAAAGTGCAAAACTTACCTGACTGCTGATGTCATCGATGGAATATACACATGTAAACGAACGGAGCTGTTTCAACCACGGCGAATCGTAAAAGTCCACAGAACGTCTGAAATGAAAGGGATTTCCCTCAACACAGGAAATAAAGCTAACATTTAGCAAGGAAAATTCGAAACAATGCTTGTTTGACTTACACATAGTTGATGATTTCATGGAGAGTTGCGTATTCTACAAATGATGGAGGATTGTACTTTTCGGCAAACACACAATTCAGCTGAAAGGATAATGAAACGTGTACGTATAGGCAAGAACAAATTCAGCTAGAAAGTAGAGAGTATGAAAATATACATAAGAAGTACTACTTACATCTTTCCAGATGGAATCTTCTGTCATCGAATTGTAATCTATCAATTTACAACGTTGTAGCAATACAAGAGCGGAAGCCAACGCGTAGATTCGCTAAATCACAAAAAAAA